ATGAGAACATAGTTATTATTTCTTGATTATAAAAAATGTCACCTAACAAAATTGCATCATCTTATATAGGGTAATTTTTTTGATAAATATAATAAACTAAGAAGCTTGAGAAAACTGGAAATTATAAATTTTTGAAAAGTATTTCAGCTAAAAAAATGCAAGCAATCAATTTAGTGTTTGAAAATTAACTCTGAACATCAAGGTGACTTATATTTGTACTATCTACATAATCCTTCAAATTGTTGGTGATCTAAATCAAAGGGTGATTTCACCCAATCAAATATGTTTTCGATGACATGAATTTGATCAGAATTACTTTCATTTACTTTTAAATGAGTTCATCATTGTTTTCATTGTCATTTTTATTTTCCTCAGAGGTCGTGTTGATTATGTTTCTAAACACGCATTTGTGACGTTTAACACTTGCTTTAGAAGCGTGATAAATTTTGCAGGATTTGCAAGTTCTTTGGTCAATTTTTTGTTGTGAAATTGATGGGCAGTACAAATCAAAGGAAGCTTCCATCGAAATTTTTGAACCTATATATCCCAAGCGCTGCGCTAGAGAAGAAAAGTAAGGTTTAGGAATATTTCGTGCTACCTTTGGCTCAGGAATAAAAATTCCTTCAGCAGCATGAGACATTACAACTGGACCTGGTAAAAAACGTTGAGGAAAATATTTTTTCCAGCAACTTCGCCAAGGTTTACAGCAATTCGGAACATTACACTTAACGATCATTAAAAAATATTGACTTTGTCTTACGTGGTTTTCAATTCATTTTGAATCTTGCTCTGGTATTGGTGACAGTTGGGAAGGTTCAACATATTCAGAACAAACAGAATAGTTATCAATTACTATATCCGACCATACCTCAGCTAGAGTTTCTGAAGCTTTAGCAAAATTTTTTTTTTCTAAATCAACGTCAATTATTTTTCCAGATGCATTTAGATGTGTCCCAAAATGGTCATGTGGCAAAACCAATCCTGCTAACTCTCGACTCAGCGGAGCCATACGCCGTTCAACCCTGTTATATGCTGAATAATGAGGTGCATGAGTTCCTGTTAGATAGACATCCAAATCCCATTTTATAAATCTTGCAATTGCAACTTGCAATGGTTTGGGAAATCTTGGATTTTCATCAGGGCCTCCATCACATGCAACAACAAATATAGGTTTTACCTGACCTTCTGGAGTACAAATATGAAGCTTAAAATTTTCAATTGAAACAAGACGCTCCAAATCACGGCCATGAGTAAAAGCAGTGCTGCTATCATGCTTCATAGATCTAATAGCAATACACGTTGGGCCAGAATATGACACTGCGTCAGCAAATTTGTTTGGATCAATAATACAAGCTGCATAAACAGACGGTATAAGCTTATGTCTGGAAGCGACTAAAAAATCATGATCTGGCAAACGTACTTGATAATCAAGATGCATCAAAATTGGTGATTGTTTTGTTGCAGCTGCTAATCCTAATGGTACTTTAGCTTTGTCGTCTAGACTTAAATAAAAGCATGAATCTGGACCAAATATTGAACAAACTTTATCCATGTATTGCATGCACGCAAATGTAAATCCAGCATCGATATGCCTATCACGAGCTGTATTAGCAGTCCTGATCAATTTCACAGGAACTGTCTTAATGTGACGTATTCCCTCAAGTGAGTTTGATCGCTTAGGCATCAGTCTTAAATAAGTTGCAGATCGCGATAAACAATAACCCAGTTTTAGTAGGCTTTTATTTAAGTCATCAAGTGTCTTACATGAACGTAACTCCTGCGATCTTCGTCGATCGCTAGCAGCGGCTCCTATTGATGCGATGTTAACGATGGCATTAAGAAGATCTGGCTGATCTTCAATTACAGCTGGTCTACCATTTTTTTCTCTATTGAATTTAGAAAGTTTTGATTTTAAGTAGGGCGTGTCATCGACAATATCATTAAGTGTTCGTTTCAAACTTGCTCTGCGTTGTCTTTGACGGATTGCCTCTTGTTTCATTTTTTTAAGACGGTTTTGTTTTATGTTTATTTGCTTTTCTAAAAAAATCGATTTTATTTTAAGTTCGTCAGTTATCAATCCTGTACGGCGCACATTTACCAATGTTAACAGCTGCTCTTTTAACTGCAAAACTTCAGTTTGAATTTTCTCTTGTTGTGGAGTATGAGATTTTGTCGGCTGATCAAATTGGTACTTCCGTTTGTGATTTTTGACTTTTTTGAATATCAAATTTAGAAGAAGTAGCTAGTGTTTTATTGATTTCAAAATCTATTTTGTCTGCTTCATCGTATGTTAACAAAGCTTCTGGTCCCTCATCTGATATTTCGTTTGTGAGAGGAAGCTTCACTGCAATAGATTGATTATTTGATGTTTTAAAATTAGACCAAAAAGACATCAACTGACTTTTACTTTCCATTGTTTTTCGTGTGAGTTCTTTTAAAACTGAATCATACGTCAATTCTTTATGCTTAACTTTATACCACAATTTATTAGCTTCTTTCTGTTGCTCCTGTTTACTTTTTTGTGGCAAAGCTTTTGCTACTTGTTGGTAAATAATTTTGTACTTTTCACTAATATTCATTTTAATAATTCCGCCTTTAAACTAATTTTTAACTGACTATTAAAAGCACAACTTAAATTTACAAGCTACAATAAATGCAAACATGAGTTGTTTGTTTAGTTTTTAAATAATTTATAGTATCTTATTTTTATTATAAAATATTTTTTACAAAATAAAGTTGAAAAAATTATAAAAAATACTATTTACATAACAATTTCAAAAATTAATATTTAAAGTTTAACAATACTTTAAAACTTTAGCTTTTAAACTTGTTACCCTTAGTAAGACTGTTGTCGCGCTAATTAATTAAAAATTGAAATATGAAGAAATTCCGAAATTCTTTTTATACTTCATATTGTTTTTGAAAAGTATTGAGCAATTGATTTAATGAAATGGAACGTTTTGAAATATAAAGAATATCACCACTTTTTGATGACTTCTTATTTTTACTCATGCCCAGCGTACTTTATTGACGATCCCTAATATTTAAATTTCTTAAATAATGTTTTTTTTTATAAATTTTAACTTTTTAACTCATAAAGAGAAAAGAGAAGATGGGGGGGGGGTACTTCAAAAGCGTACGTACTTTTCAAAGGGGGAAGAGGACTTAAAAGTACGCATGGCAACTGGGGGAGGGGATGGGGTCAATTTTTTGAAATTTTTGGCGTACGTACTTTATGGATGACCCCTAATTTTAGTTATGATAATTATGGGAAAAGATACAAGATCAAAATGTAAAATTTTTTTGATAAATGATATTATTGAAATACTACCATCATCTTAATTGCCTACTGGATAGCAAGTTCTGCAATATTTACATGGCAAACTATTCAAAGCAAGAAAAGAACATTTAAAATAAAAACTCTGTGATATGGTTTCTTGCAAATTTCCACATGAGAATTTTGAAATTGATTGCAATAACCTTGGAGGGTGTTCTTTTCTTAAATGCACATGTGTTGTTTTTTCATTTAAGAAAATCTGGAAAAGAATTTATTATATATTTCAAATATATAATAATTTCCAGATTTTCTTAAATGAAAAAACAACACATGCACCTAATATTTGTAATTATATATTATATAGTACTTGATTTAGTGGGTAGATATATTATATAAATGGATGTAAAACTTTTGTAAGATGAGTTGAATTCTCAAGTTAATAAATAAATTTTTGGAAAGAAAAGAAGTTTTGTTTCGAGCGAGAAAATTACAAGCTAACCGGGCATAGATTCGAATATCAAATTATTGGAAATGTTTGAAACGTTTGATGGAACATTGGACGCTGCCGTTTGGATACAGCGAACTAAAGTGATGCAAAATGTAAAGGTGAAGTCACTCTTTCCAATTTTTCTAAAAGGAACTGCCTATTTGGTATACGATGGTTTAAACGCTGAAAACAAGCAAAACGAAGAAGAAGTTGAGCGTGTCTTGTTAGCAGCATTCTCTTTAGATGCTTATACGGCATACGAACTTTTTATTAAACGAAAATTAAATGTTGGAGAGAAAGTTGATGTGTTTTTGGCCGACTTAAAACGATTGCCTTATCTTGCTAAATTGTCAGAAGAGTCTATTCGATTAGCGTTTGTTGTTGGCTTGCCCGACGATTTATTATCAACACATGGCTGCAAAATATTTAATGAAGCAGGAAAACGAGTGCGGGAGCGAGGAATGTGCGCTACCTCATTCCTGAACAATGATGGAATTAGCGCACTATCTATTATTCATCTAAAAGTTAATGGTTTGTTAGTAACAGCTACGGTAGACACGGGTTGTTCAAAGACAATTATACATCAAAAACTGTTGTCAAGAAAGCAACATAAATCTTAAAATTCTCTAAAGGTAGTAACTTTTGGCGGTAAATTTCATCAATGTAATGGATTAGCGGCTGTCACTATTGAGGTTGATGGTATTCAAAGACAAGACGAAGTTATTTTGGTGGATTTTCAACCGTTTGGAGTTGATATGATGCTGGGAATAAGTTCCATAAAATTGCTAGGAGGAGTTTTTATTTCCCCGTCTGGAATAGCAAAGTTTGGGTTCGGCTTGTGTGGAATAGCAGTCTCAAAGAAAGATAAAGTCAATAAAGTTGAAATTAAAAAGCAAGATCATGAAGCAATATTTAATGGTGTCGAATGGGAAGTTAAATGGAAATGGAGAGATGAAGAAGTTGGTTAACAAAGTTGCCCAATACAGCATACCAAAATATGCAAGAGCAGAATATGAAAACGAACTACGGGATTGGATCAATCGTAAATTTTTAATTGAGTATGACGAACATAAAATGGGACCATCCAAAGGGCAAATTCCCTTAATGGCTGTTACCCAACGAAATAAAGATAATAAAGTCAGACCCGTTTTGGACTGAAGAGAAGCTAACAGTTTTATTGAAACGTATACAAGAGATGCAGATGTGTGTGTTGAGAAGCTGAGGAAATGAAGAAGAATGGGAAGAAACCAGCAATTATTGATTTACGCATTTAGTTTAACGAAGGGTTGGGACGATGAAGTTTGCGATGAAAATTTAAAGCGTGAACTTCAAGAGGTTTATGATGAGGTTGTAAAGTGCGATCCAGCTTACGGTGATTGGGCTGTACATAGTGACGAGGGGAATGTGTGGGTTGATGCAAGTTTTTTGGCAAGTGGTGCGGTTATTCAAGTTGGTAAAACTACTGAAGAAGATGCAACATGGCTACGAAAAGAAATGTCTGAGGATCACATAAACATGGCGGAGCTGGATGCTGTAATGCGAGGAATGAATATGGCTTTGACGTGGAAATTAAAGAAAGTAACTATCTTTACAGATTCCGCGACAGTGTTCCACTGGGTCTCTGACACTCTCAGTGGTAATTCAAGATTGAAATCAAAAGCAATGGGAGAAATGTTGATTCGAAGAAGATTAAGCGTTCTCCAACAAAGTATTGAAGAATATGGTATTAATGTGAATGTAAAACTTGTTCCTTCAAAAGACAACTTAGCTGACGCATTGACTAGAGTTTGAAGTAGATGGTTAAATAAATTAACGGAGGCTAAGCATTCGAGTAATTTAGTTGGAGCAGTATTTGCAGAGACTGAATCCATTTCTAGCATACACAAGAGAATTGAACACTTTGGAGTGAATCGCACTCTAAACTTTGTTCGTAAAGTAATTCCAACCGCTACTGAAAATGACGTTAGAGAGGTAATTAAAAATTGCGAACCATGTCAGTCAATAGATCCAGCACCTGTACAATGGGAGAAGGGAAAATTGAGCGTTAAAGAAAATTGGGAAAGAGTGGCCATGGATATCAGGCATTTTGGCACAGAAAAGTTTTTAACTCTGGTTGATTGCGGACCTTCAAGATACGCATTGTGGCGACAACTTTCAAGTTCATACGGAAGTATTGCCATTACTCGAATATCGAATTTTGACAGATAACGAAGCAACTTTTAAGACTGAGGAGTTAAGAAGTTTTTTTGATGGTTGGGGAGTGCGCATTAGATTTCGAGCTGCTTATTATCCCGAAGGAAATGGAATTGTGGAAAGAAATCATCATACAATTAAGAGAATTGCAGAAAGATCAAAAATGTCAATACCGGAAGCAGTGTTATTGGTACAACGTCTCAGCTAACAAAAACAATGCAAGCCCGATGGAGAAAATATACAGGTATCGAGTTAATGTGAAAGGATTGAGAAAAGATAATCTTCCAACAAAATCTGACACAAATGAAGTGTTTAAAAATGGTGATAATGTTTGGTTGAAACCGTCAAATGCGAAGTGCCATACTAAGTGGCAGCCAGCAAAACTAACGGGAAATATTTCGAAACAAGTTGTCAAAGTTAATGGCGTTCCACGTCACATAAAACATATCCGATATCGAAACAACATTCAACCATGCGATATTCCTTAAGTGAACGCAGACAGTGGTCGAGATAACGCGACAAACCATGGTGAGCAAATTAAAAGTGTGTTGGAGACAAGCAAAGGAGACGTGTTACAAGAAAATGGTGAAGCCGAAAATGGATTTTAAGAAACAGTGCCTTTGCCACGAAGTACTCGAGAACGACGCATGCCCCAAAAATACGACGATTATTATTTGTATGATCCGTAAGGACCAAGGAGGAGTGTAAATAAAGTAGAGAAAGTTCTAGAACATTCTACGGCAACTACGTGGTTTTTTTTATTGATAGTTTTTAATTATTTTAATTGTAGTTATGTATTAAGCGGTTTTGTAATGTTGATTTTGTGGGTAGATATATTATATAAATGGATGTAAAACTTTTGTAAGATGAGTTGAATTCTCAAGTTAATAAATAAATTTTTGGAAAGAAAAGAAGCTTTGTTTCGAGCGAGAAAATTACAATATATACATAATATATATATATATATATATATATATATATATATATTATATATATATATATATATATATATATATATTTAGTTTATTAGTTTATTTCGCCGTTAAAAATATTTACAAAGTATAGCAATATAAAAAGTACAATTGGCTGGATCATAAAATAGCCTTATCACCGAGCCCCAATAGTAACGCAAATAAATATCCCTAATATACAATAATCCGTAATATATAAGCAAAAGTATTTAAAAAAAGACAATTTAAAATGTTTAGAAACAAAGTTAAAAAGAAAAAAAAAAAAAGAATTAAAATAATTGAAGAAAAAAAAAAAAAAGAAAAGAAACGATTAAAATATAGTAATAAAAATGACAAAAATTTTCTGTTTTTGATTATAAATTGGATGTGATTCGACATATATATATTATTTTCTTTCAAAATAATTCAAAATTCAAATAAAAATTCTGTTCCAATATTATAAAATATATCAAGAAAATTGTAGGTAACTTTAAGAGAATTTATATATTCAATGAAAGTATGATAAAGACATCGAAATTCTTAGTATTGTTAAATAGTCTAGATTTTTAAATTTATGGTGCTAATTTAGTTTAATAAATTTTAAAGCTTTAAAAGTGACATAGAAGATCTGCTATATTAAAATCCGTAAGTACTAAATAACGTCTTAATTTAGATTTGAATTGCGGAAGTGTTTTTTCTTTAATATTAACAATATGCTAAAAGTTTTTCCACAAAATTGGACTCCTATACTGAATAGAATAAGAACATAACTTTAGATTATATTTTTGAGTTACAAAGTTATTTTCTGAGAACTTGGTGGGGTATTTATGGTTTACCTCTCTAAAATAAGGATAGAATATCGCTGGAGACAGTCCAAGTTTTATTTGATACATGAACTGTATGACGAGGAATATGTTAATTTTAAACACATTTAATTCATTGGGTTTACGTAAAAGTGGCTCACAAGGCACAGTTCTTTTTACTCCAAATACAATTCTACATGCATGTTTTTGTTTAGTATAAATTTTCTTTAACTTAGCGTAGCTGTTGCTTGCCCATACCATATTGCTGTAAATTAGATAGCTATGTATGAAGGAAAAATATAAACTTTTTAGAGATTATATATCCAAAAATGGTTTTGCTTTATACATCATTGCAATGTTTATTGAAAGTTTTCTTTCAAGAATGTTTATATGTTTCCTCCATGTTATATTTTCGTCTAAAATAATACCTAAAAAGTTTACAGTTGTTTGCCTAGTAACATTTATATTATTGATTTTAAGATTGGGTAATTTTAAAGGAAGGTTTCCTGTTTTGGTTGGTTTGTGAAATAGAATAAATTTAGTTTTGTTAACGTTAAGTGAAAGTTTATTACAAATAAACCATTCATTTACTTTGTTTACTTCTTCATTAACTACTTTAAAGAGGGTTTTAATATCTCTACCCAGTGGGCACACGACGTTATTTCGACGTTGATTTACAGTTGATTTTTAGTCGCGACGTCGTATAACCAAAAATCAACGTTGTATCAACGTTGAAAAATTTGTTAAAAACTATCACGTTGATTCCACGTTAATTCAACGTCTATATTACGAGTTCGATCGTTCGTAATTGCAATATGAGAACTAAAATACGCATGCGTGACTTAAAATTTTTTTATCAACATAACAAATAACAAGTACGTTACTTATTAGCCCAATAAAGACAAGTAAAGTCACACATGCTAATAAATTAGGTCATCTGTTGCCTTTTTATAAGGTTTTGAATTTGACAATTTAACAATAATACATGACTTAACTTGTGATGCAGTTAGTTAGGTAAATATTAAATGGATATTTCTTTATGACCGTATTATTTCATGAGTGTGGATTATAAGTAGAGACTACTTGATATATTATATAAATATAAAATATATATTATATATATTTTTCTTATTTATATAATATATATATATATATATATATATATATATATATATATATATACATATATATATATATATATATATATATATATATATATATATATATATATATATATATATATATATAGTATATATATTTATATTATGTATGTATATATACATATATAGTGTATGTATATATTATATATGCATATTATATATATGTATACATATATATATATATATATATATATATATATATATATATATATATATATATATATATATACATATATATAATATGCATATATAATATTTACATACACTATATATGTATATATACATACATAATATAAATATATATAATGGATGATGTTTTACAAAATAATGATTTATCAAGCTTTTTTACCAATCCATGTGATTTAAAGAGTTTGAATATTTTTTATATTAAAAAAATTTTATTAAATTTTTAAAGACTTTTCTTGTAAAGTTGTATAAAAAAGAATTTGTGCATGCTCCTTTAGTCCATGATATTGGTTGGTAGAAGGATCAACATAAAAATTTAGCAAATTTTAGCAACTGTATAATGCATCATAACGTACAGTTTAAAGTTGTATTTTTCTGTTAGCTATTTTACATGAACAAATTTTTAATATATAAGTATTTTTTCTATTATATTTTCTACTATACTTTTCCAGTTGAAAAAGTATTGTAGGGCATGCAAAATGTTCATTCGAGCTGTTTGGATAGAAAATACAGAGAAATAAAGAGAGAAAATTTGATTGATAATTTTTTGTGCTGGCCATCATTAAATGTAATAAATTGTTTCAATGAAATGCATAAACCGCATCTAACTAATACAGATTTACGCTGCTCAAAATTAAATGTCATGGAGATAATGTAATTTTTTTTTAATATAAACCTTAAGTCATTACTTTTTTTCCTTGTTTTTTTAACATGCTTTCATTCTGTATATGTTGTTTTCAGTGTTTAGATATATTCTTTATTATATATTCTTAATTATATAATGTATTTAAAAAATTTTTAAATTGAATGAATATTCTTAGGTCATGAGTTATGTAATAAATTTGAATTTGCCTCTACTAGTGATACTCAGATAGAATCAGGTTCAGAAAACGGTAACTATTTCAAAAGATACTTTATTCAAGTATTATTTGTTATATTTTGATATTAATTTTTATAGGAGCCACTACCATGCTTATGCAAGAGAAAACATAATAACCAACAGAATAGTAAGCAAGTATTTACTCCTGTAACGCAAAAAAAAGAAACAGAAAACAATTTTTATGCATACTCCACATACTGTAGCTCAAGGTATTAATTGTCTGTCTGCAAGTTGATTTAGGAAGAAAAGATTCTGAACATTTTTTTCTATGCTTCAGTGATTTACACATTTCTTTGGTTGCTAAATTAATACATTTTATTTAATTTATGAATAATGTTTTATTTTATAAATTTTTTGTTCTTGTGTTTCAACGCTTTTAGAAATTAATTAATGTTTGGTTCTTTTGTCTTTCTGATATATCTTTATTGTTAGAAAGAGATGTTAGTAAAAACTCTTTACAGTAATTAAAGTAATATCACGACAATTAGTTCTGAAATTCTATGGATGAACTTGCAGCAGTAATTTAATGATTATGATAACAGTTTAAATGATTCTTGGTTGAGGTCAGAAGTGATGGGTTGTTTCAAACCATGACTTTTTGCAGTTTTTTTATTGTTTTTTGATTAAGTATTTATTAATAACTTAGTCTAAGTTAATCTACTTGTAACTTTTTATAAATGTACTTTAAAAATAATGTGGTGTAATTATTTTCTTAAACCTTTAGGTTAACAAACTTTCTAAAATTGGAGGTAAAACCATTAAGACAAATACAAATAAATGTGATGCAAAGGTTTGTTAAAAGAAGTTTTAAATAAAAAATCTTTTGAATCTTTTTATTATAGTTTGTTTTAAACCTGTGTTAAAAATATGTGTGGCATATATTTTTAAAAGTTTGACGAATTCTAATCAGAAATAAAATAAATATTTTTTTTTTTTTATGTCTGATTATAATTTTTTTTGTAACTGTTTACTCTTACTTTTGTATTTCCTTGAGCTAAAGAACAACCTTAAAGTACAAAGGTTGATTTGTAACGCA